GTCTCCTTTCGGGGCACACGGAGAAACTTGCGGGTGCAGACGGGCTAAGCCTACCCTGCTGGGAGGGGTCCCCAGCCTCTGGTCTTGCCCCCAGCAGCACCATGGCCGGCACAAGCCCCCCGGGCGAGCACCCGTCTGTGACCCTCTTCCGCCAGTACCTGCGCATCCGCACGGTGCAGCCCGAGCCTGACTACGGTGAGACCCCAGGGCCCGCCACCGTGCATAAGGGGCGAGAACTGCAAGCGAAGCCAGCCGGACCCCAGGGGTGGCCCCGACCGGCTCCGCCACTCCCTAGGGCATCAGCCAGCCCGGGGCAGTCAGTCCTCCAAGCTGCTGCCAACACTGCTGCTTGGGAAGTCGCTCTGGGCCGCTGCTTAAGGTCTGCTTACTCCCCGCTGAGAGACTGGGACAACTGGAGGAAGAGAGCCCCACCCCCACGTGTAGATAAAAGCCACAGCACCCGGGGTGACTGGGGATTTTGTGGGTGGGCACCGTGCCGGTGACCCATTTGCTCCCACCCTGTCCACAAAGGTGGGGGAGTAGACATCAGGGCGCTGCAGAGTGGATGCCGACTCAAGGCGACCCCTGGTGAGCAGAGTCACATGCCCCAAGATAGTTTTCAAAGCTGCGGATCCCAGGACTGGGTTCGAACTGCCAGCCTTTAGGTCAGGGGCTGATTAAGAGCCCCTTGCCTCACCCAGGCATCTGAAGGGTCACCAGCCGACCACAAAGGCCACCAAGGGGACAGACATGCATGTGGCTGCAAGGGTGTCGCTCTGCTCCCTTCTCTGAGCGGCACCTGGACTGGTGGGGGAGGGGTGCACCCCGAGCCCCTCTAAGACTCTCTGTGCCCCAGGGGCTGCCGTGGCCTTCCTTGTGGAGCAAGGCCGTCAGCTAGGCTTGGGCTGTCAGAAAGTGGAGGTGAGCTTGGGGTCCTGAGCGAGGAGAGGTGGGGCTCGGATTCCGCCTCCCCCTGTGCTGACCAGCCCCGTCCTCACCCCCTCCAGGTGGCACCTGGCCGTGTGGTGACCGTGCTGACCTGGCCGGGCACCAACCCCAAGCTCTCCTCCATCTTGCTCAACTCCCACACGGATGTGGTGCCTGTCTTCAAGGTTTGTGCGCTGGGGGCGGGGCAGGGAGGGGTGAGGAGCCAACTTCAGGGAACTCTGGGCTTTTGAACGACCCGGACATCTCATGCTTGTGTGAATTTGCCCGCGCTTTGGAGCTCTGGTGCTATGTATGGTGGTTACCCGTTGGGCTGCTGACTGCCAGGTCGGCGGTTCGAAACCACCAGCCGCTTCGAGGGAGAAAGATGAGGCTTCCTATTTCAGTAACTTCCGAAGATCCACCAAGGCAGTTCTATCCCTCTACCCCGCCCTGTGGAGACCCGTGAGTTGGAATTGACACAATGCTATCGAGTTGGGTGTTTGGGGGAGCGACAGAACCAGCCTTCTGAAGTCCTGGCCAGGCTCCCCACACCCTCCCTTAATGTTTGCCCAGCTCACTGCGGTTGAGTCTGCTCCCACTCGCAGGCCAGTGTAGACCTGCCGCAAGTTTGGAGGGTTTCCGCAGCTATGAATTCTATGGAAGCAGACCGCCACAGTGTCCTCCCAGGGAGCAGCCGGTGGGGCGAATGACTAGCCTCTTTGGCTAGCGCTCAACACGGAACGACCCCGGCCCCTGTTCCCCAGGGGCCTCCATCTTGCACTAAAGCATGCGCCCACCCTGACATATTGGACTTCAAGACAATTGTGCCTGGGAGACCCGCCACTTTCATACAGAGCCTTCAACAAAAAACAGAAACACCTCCCTCCCTCGCTGCCATCGAATCAATTCTGACCTGCAGCACCTCCCCCACCCGCAACCCCCGGAACTGGCCCCGTGGGTTTCTGAGAGGGACTGCAAAGCCAAGTCTGTCTCCTGAGGAGCAGCTGGTGGTTTTGAACTGCTGACCCCTGTGGTCGGCAGGCTAACAAGTCACCGGGACGCCACGAGGACTTCTTCAAGCGGTGTCACTACCCAGGGCGGGTGGAAGAGGCAGAGATGGGGGTGTCCGTCAGCTGCCCTCCTCTGTCCTCCACGCCACCCCGCTTGTCACCCAACTTAATGACGTCTTCCCAGGGCAGGGTGCCCGTTGGCCCGAGAGGGTTAAGGACGAGACTCCCGTCTCTCTTCGTCCCTGCAACAGGAGCACTGGAGCCATGACCCCTTCGGGGCCTTCAAGGACGCCGGGGGCTACATCTACGCCAGGGGCACACAGGACATGAAGTGTGTCAGCATCCAGTGAGTCCCCCTGCCAGCCCAGTGGATGGACCCAAGGTCTGGGTGTGGCTGGAGAACCCCAGCACTGAGGGGCGTATGAGGCCTTTACTGTGGACAGGAGCTAGCAGCCCTGACCACTGCTTGACAGGGTGATGTGAAATCCAGGCCCAGGGGCAGGCTGGGGCTCCCAGAGTGCCCTACCAGGTTGTGACAGGGCTATGTCCAGGACCGGGGGTGGGGTGGGGGTGCTCCCACCTGCCAGGCCTGCCCACCCCTGGCACTGTCCCTCTCGCTGCCCACTCAGGTACCTGGAGGCCGTGCGGAGGCTGAAGGCTGAGGGCCACCGTTTTCCCAGAACCATCCACATGACATTTGTGCCAGGTAAGGGTGGCTCGGGTGGGGGCCCCTGCAGGGAGGGGTGCCCCTTGCCTCACGACCCTGCTCCTGTGCCAGATGAGGAGATCGGGGGTCACACGGGCATGGAGCTGTTTGTGCAGCGCCCCGAGTTTCAGGCCCTGAGGACTGGCTTTGCCTTGGATGAGGGTGAGCAGGGTGACGGCTGCCCAGGGGGAGGGGCGGGGGCTGCTGTAGGGGGTGGGCAACTCCACCCGAGTCCCCTTTCACGCTTCAGGCCTGGCCAACCCCACGGACGCGTTCACTGTGTTTTACAGCGAGCGGAGCCCTTGGTGTGAGTATGGGCATCGAGGGCGGGGTGCGGCCCCTGTACCCATAGGCGATTAGGCCAGAGAGGGTGAAGGCCTGCTGGGGGCCACACAGCGAGTGGGGCCTGAAGAGACCCGGGACCCAGGGCCTCTTGTCTCCCAACCTCTTCCGTTGGGGGTCTCCTTCCTGTTCCCTTAATCAAGGGCTTCCCTGAGGGCTGGCTCTGCCTGACTGGGGCAGGGACCAGCTCTGCGCCAGGGGCTCTTGGAAGGAGGGCAGACCCAGGCCCCCACAGGGCCGCCCCTGCTGAAGATGCCCCTGCGCCTCTCCAGGGGTGCGGGTCACAAGCACGGGGAAGCCCGGTCACGGCTCTCGCTTCATCGAGGACACGGCCGCGGAGAAGCTGGTCCGTGGTGCGGTGGGGGGTACGGGGCGGCGGGGTGCTCAGCCCAGGGACCGCGCTTACTCCTCCCGGTGTTTTCTCAGCACAAGGTTCTGAGCTTAGTCATGGCCTTCCGGGAGAAGGAGAGGCAGAGGTGAGGCAGCCTGGGGAAGGGGGTGGGGGCGCTGGGCGGGAGAGCGGGGCCCAATGTCCTGCTGCTCCCTGTGGCCTCTCCCCTCGACGTCCCCCTCAGGCTGCAGTCAAACCCCAGCCTGACGCTGGGGGCTGTGACCTCCGTGAACCTGACCAAGCTGGAGGGCGGCGTGGCCTATAACGTGGTACCGGCCACCATGAGTGCCAGCTTTGACTTCCGAGTGGCTCCCGATGTGGACCTGAAGGTGCAACCCCACCCGGGCTGAGAGGCTGGCGGGGTCCCTGCCCTCCCAGCTTCGCAGAGGCTGTCAGCTAGCGCCCCCCCCCCCACCCTTCTTCTGTAGGCTTTTGAGGAGCAGCTGCAGGGCTGGTGCAGGGAGGCTGGCGAGGGGGTCACCTTGGAGTTTGCTCAGGTATGGGTTTAGGACCTGGGGTCACCCGCGAGCTGAGGGCGAGCCCCCGGGAGCTGGGCACCATGGGGGCGTGGGCTTAGCATGCCTGCTGGCATCAGTTCTTCAGTCGTGAGACACACGCTTGAGCCTCCCAAGAAGCACTAGTGGGGCTGGCAGCTACAATGGTGGACGGAAAACTCAACTGGGTTCCTCCCCGCGTGGTCCTTGCAAGCCAGTGTGGGGCAGGAGACATGAACACTTTTCAGTGACAAAGACCTGTGTCTGGCTGGGGGTTGGGGCAAAGCCCACCCCGTGAGGAGCAGGCCTGGTGCCCCTGCCCTGATCCTGCCCCTGACTTCCCTCTCCGCAGAAGTGGACTGAGCCCCGGGTGACACAGACTGACGACTCGGACCCCTGGTGGGCAGCGTTCAGTGGGGTCTGCAAGGACATGTGAGTACCGTGGGCAGCCCATCCCCATCCTGCGGGTGGGCTCTCCTGGTGCCCCCCCCCGCCCCCCTCACCAGGCTCTCCCTCCTGCAGGAATCTCACCTTGGAACCCCAGATCTTCCCTGCGGCCACCGATAGCCGCTACATCCGCGCGGTGAGCACCTGGCACGGCCATGGGAGGGGAGGCAGCGTGGGGCGGGCCTGGCAGCAGTCTTCCTTAGAGGCGCTCCCTCCCGGTGCAGGTGGGGGTCCCAGCCCTGGGCTTCTCGCCCATGAACCGCACGCCCGTGCTGCTGCACGACCACGACGAGCGGCTGCATGAGGCCGTGTTCCTTCGCGGCATCGACATCTACGCGCGCCTGCTGCCTGCCCTTGCCAGTGTGCCGGCCCTGCCCACGGACCACTGAGCCCCACCCCCAATAAAGTCAGCCTACAGGCTCGCCACCTCTCTAGCACACACAGTGAGATTTGCTTTCTCTGGGCGTTGATCCAGCCCTACTGCAGAGATGCAGCGAAGCCCAGCTGTGTCCCTCCTGCCTGGCACCGCAGAGCCCTGCCTGCCCAGCCACCAGGACCCACGTTCCTGTTCTCAGGGGCTTCACCCCCACATCCCACCTGTGTAGCACCGGCTACAGCCATATTCCCGACTTTGGGCAATCTTGAGGGAAGGGCGGGAACCACACATGGGACAGGGGTGTGGACAGCTAGTGCTGGCCAAGCCTACAGGAAGGTGTGACGTGTTCTGGCGTAGAGAGAGCAAGGGGGTCACTGACAGCAGGAACCCGCAGCCAAGTCAGTGTGGACTCGGCCATCTTGGACAGCAGCATTGAGTCCCCAGGAACAACTCCTTCCCGGAGCAGAAAGCCGTCTTTCTCCAGCCCTGGTGAGCCAAGCCAGTTCACCAGGGTCTCTGGTATTGTGGCCAGGAGGCACAGGTGCGTGCAGAGGCCCCAGGTGGCAGACAAGCCTGGCCTTAGTTAGCCTGGGCAGCAGGACCAGCTTGTGAAGCTGGAGGGGAAGTGGAGGAGCTGCACGTGGCCTGGTTTGGTCCTAGCAGGACCAACAGTGACCCCCTCCCCTGTCCTCCCGGGGAATGCGGGTGGACGCCATGGGGAGCTCCACTTGAGAAAGCTCAGCTTGCTGCTGGGCCGCACAGCTGCTGGCGGGACGAGGCTCCTCCAGCATGTTCACCAGCACCCAGTTCCTTCCTTTGCACAGGGCTGGCGCACGACCTTCGTTCGTTTGAAGACCGCTTGAGCCCGATTCAGGTCCCGAGCTCCTCAAAGGGAGGCTTCCTCTTTCCAGGAGGGGCTGACTGGGTCTGAGGCCCAGCACCAGCTGCACAAAAACGAGCTCTTTCAAGATTCCAGCCCTCACCCCCAGGGGAGTCAGCGCCCCCTCCCCAGTGGCGGGGCGGGGGCGCATGCAGACAAACAACTCCCTGAGGCCCCACATCAACTACCTGGGTTGTCAGTTCAAATCAATGGTGAGTCCCGGGGAAGAAATTGAGGGGGGTAGGTTGTCAGAATCAACCCCTGGGTGGCCCCTACAGGAAGCCTCCACTGGCACCCAGCAACCTCCCTACTCATCTGTGCATTAGGGACCCTGCAGGTGCAGCAGCTGACCCTGGAGTCAAGAGACCCCACCCACTCACATACCACAGGGGTTCCTGGGACTCTGGCCATTCCTGCCAGACAGGCAGTCCCTAAGATCAGACCCCATGGCTATAGTTGGAGCAGCCTGGCTGGACAACCTAAGGTCAGAGCTCCAGGCAGCTCCTCCCCACAGGCACACTGCAACGCCAACAAGGGTGCCCAGGGGCTCTTCCTTTCCCAGCTGCCTGCCCAGTGGTCAGCAAGCTCTCTGCCCCCTCCAACATCCACAGAAGGCTGAGCACTTCTCCCCACAAACGGACGCACCACTGCAGCCCCCAACACAAGCAGACCGATAACAGCGCCGCCTGGGTTTATTTGTACAACCAACAGCACAAGAAGACACCAGCGCCATGCACGCTGCAGCCCAGGCTCACACCAGTCCCTCTCGCCCTCACACAGAGAACTCTACTTTGTGGGGGCCTGGGCGCCTTTGGGAGCTTGAGCTGGGGCCGGGGCACCTTTGGGAGCTTTCGCTGGAGTCGTGGCCTTGGCTGGAGCGTCAGCCTTGCTTTGTGCCTTGGCCTTGGGCCGGCAGAGCCTCAGACCCTTGGCAATACGTGCCCGAGCCCGCTTGCCAAGCTTGGGGTGGGCAATGTAGGCCAGTCGGCTGAGCTTGCGGTTGACGCCCATTGGGATCTTGGCCTTGACCTCTGTGGGCTTCACAAGATCCTTGACGGCCTCAGCGCGAGCAGCCGCAGCCTTGGCGTTGTTGGCATGCATTTTCTTCAGGCCCTTCTTGTTGTGCTTCTTGGCGAAGCGCATGTTCCTCAGGAACTTGGGGTCCACCTGGAAGGCAGGAAAGGTGTCAGTGCACTGTGGGGTGCTCCACCCCACGGGGGTGGGGAAGACTGTGAGCCCCGGGCAAAGGGGCCTGCTGGCAACTTAAGCAGTAGATGCCACAACATTTCAACCCCTAGCATCGACTCCTGGAGGAAAGTTAAGAGCACCCCTTGAAGCTGAAACTCGAGCCTGCTGGTGGGCACGCAGAAGCCATTGCTGGCGCCCCACTTGCAGACACCAGAAGTTGTCAGTCAGGAGCAGGTGCAACAGCATGGCTGCCCTCTCGCTACACCAGGGTGCCACCGGTTCACAGCACAGGGGAAGCCGAGGCAGAAAGGTGTGGTGGCCCACCCGCGCGGTTTCATCAAGTGCTGGGGACAAGCTCCGTTCTACTCACCGAGGACCACCCCCCTTCCCCGGCGAATCCTGAGAATCCCTAACAGGCGATAAAGCTGCCCCCCAACAGCACGCGTCAGGCTAGGGCAGGGAAGGTACTCACCCCCTTAAGAGATTCGTATCGTTGTGACCGGGGTTTTTTGATGCCGTTTCTGTGCCATTTCCGGGCTGTGGGGGGAAGGAATTAAACTTTAAGGAGATTTACTCACTGAAACCACCAGTTAACCGCAGCTGGCAGGCTCGGGAGACCCCTGTCCCGAACGGCAAGCACTGGAGGTATGCACATGAGCGAGAGCAACAACAGTCCCAGGCTCCAGGTGGCAACGCGCCCCCCATCCTCCCCACCCACTGCTGGCCAGGCCTGGTCCCCCGACGCCCCCCATCCTCCCCACCCCCACTGCTGGTCAGGCCTGGTCCCCCGACGGGTGACGGAGCCCGAGAAACTTACATTGGTTGTGCGTGGTGTGGTTCTTGGACTTGGCCATGTCTGCACCTGGAGGAGAGCGACAATCAGGGGGGCTGGCCAGTCCTTGCCTCTAAAACCCAAGTAACGTCCCCCCGCCCCGCCAAAAAAAACCCTCCCCAAACTGCGCCGCCAGCAACTTTAAGCTCTAGCGCGTCCCCCTTCCATCCGTCCCTTAAGGCCCTAAGCGCACTACCGCCCGCCCCGGCCTCCGTTCCCCACAGCCACGCGGCCAGCCCCTGCCCTGCCTCGGGCACGCGTCCCTCCGCCCCTCCTGGGCCGAGGATGGAGCTCGATACTGAGCAACTAGAACTCACCGACGCCTCCACTCCTGGAGCGCCAGGGACCGGAAGAGAGAGAGAGAAAGTCGCGGTGCAGCACGGGAAATAGGGTCGACAGAGCCGGAAGTTACCGCTGGAAAAGCTTCCCCCGGCGCCGGGAAGAAAGGTTCCTAGGCTCGAGCGGCCGAGAACGGCGGAGAGGCCCCGCCCTCCGGGCGCTGGTGGCCGCGGGTCCCTTTAACGGTCTCGAGGGCACGGGAAGTTATCGCGAGATGTTCAGCGAGATCCGCGTGTGCAGAAGTGCGCTGTCCGGCGGGGGTGCTCTTTGGGCTCCGGGCCGCTGGCGGCCGGTCGGAGGCCGGCGGTCGACTGCGGCGAGGTGGGCGAGGAAGGGCGCAGACCGGACTTGGGGTGCAGGGGAGAGGCCCCGGAAGGCGGCAGGGACAGCTCCTCCTCCGTGGGGGACCTGAACTTCTGGGAAAAGGCGGCGCTGCTGAAGGGGATGGGGCCTGCCGGGGGTGTGCACGAGGTGTGGGTGTGGCTGCTGCAGACGTATGGTGGGAGACGGCTCTGGGACATGCACGTCGCTTCCTAGCAATTCCCAGGGCCTCTTGCGAGTTCTTGTCCTCGCTCAGAGGCACCTGCGGACGCTTTAAAGTACAAACCAGGTGCTGCCCTTTACAGACTCCGGACTTCCCGGCTGTCCGCCATAGGTTCCTTCCCTCCGCGTGTTCCCGATAGGCTTCCCTGGGCGGCCCTGTGGAAGACAGAGACCAGGAAGGGGGGACGGGGGCGCATCAAACAGACCCTCTGCTGAGGACCTGCGGGTGGGGGGTAAGGGTTTCTCAACTGTGTCCACGCTGAGTTGGAATCGTCAGGGGAGGACTGCCCCCGAGGTGGTCATCGTTGTAGTTTGGGGGTACCTAGTGGGTTCTGACGACAGCGACCCCCCCACCACCACTGTCCCGCTTCTTGAGCCTGTTGTTCCGCCGCTGTGTCCGTCGAGCTCAAGGGCCTTCTTTGTCGCTGCCCCTCCGCGTCACCAAATCGATGTCCTTCTCCAGGGACTGGCCTCTCCTGACAACAGGCCCACGGTGCGTGAGACCAGGTCCCACCGTCGGCGCCTGGAAGGGGTGCGCTGCTGTGTTCCTGGGAGGGGCAGATCGCCGGTCTCTCCTCCCCGGCGCTGCTGGGTGGGCGGCTTCACGCCTTCAGCCTTTTGACTAGAAGCTGCGGTGCCTCACTTGCCCTTCAAGGGCTCCTTAAGTGCTTGGCCACTAAGAGTAAACGTTGGTGGCTACCCCCCACTCAGATACCTTGGTAGGAAGTCCGCGGATGCGCGTCTGAAAATCCCAGCGTTGAGAGCCCAGGGGCATTTAGTCCCCCTCCCAGGCTCTGTGTCCTCTGGGCCGGACATCGCTTCTCTGCTGGAGACTGGCTGCTCCTGTTTTCGCTTGGCCTGGGCGATGCCTGGTGCGGAGCAGGGGTTTCAGGAGCCACCTGCCCAGTTTAAGTTGCTTGTCAAGGTGGGTTCATAGAGCAGATTGCCCAGGGAGGGAGAAAGGCAGAGGAGGGGGGTGGCGGCAGCGCCGTGTGGAGGCCTTCTGACTGAAGCCTTCCTGACAAGGGGGAACCGGGCGGGAGAAGGAAGAGCAGGCTCCGGTGCTGACCACGGGTGACAAAGTACCAAGGAAGTGACTGTGGAGGCCAAGAAGGAACGTGTCTCTGGGCATGTGGAGGAGCTGATGGGCAGAGGCAGGGGCTGCAGGAGATAGGAGTGGTCTTCGGCTGGGTTCTCTGTGGGAGAAGAAGCAGAGAGGCATGCCTATGGAAAGAGATCAACGGAAACCCAAGCCCACTGCTCTCCAATTGCTCCTGAAGG